GGGGGGGGGGGGATGGGAATTTGAGGTTTGTTGCTATCCGTGGTAGTTCAGAACAACTTAAAGAAGCAGAAAGGGCAGATGATGCAAGGAGAAAGGAAATATAATTAGAAAGTTTTTTGTTTTTTTTTTTACTTTTATTTATTTTTTTTAACGTTTATTTATTTTTGAGACAGAGAGAGACAGAGCATGAAGGGGGGAGGGGCAGAGAGAGAAGGAGACACAGAATCGGAAGCAGGCTCCAGGCTCTGAGCCATCAGCCCAGAGCCCCACGCTGGGGCCTCACAGACCGCGAGATCGTGACCTGAGCTGAAGTCAGACGCCCAACCGACTGAGCCACCCAGGCGCCCCAATAATTAGAAAGTTTTCAAAAGCGGGTGCCTGGGTGGCTCAGTCGGTTTAAGTGCCTGACTTCGGCTCAGGTCATGATCTCACAGCTCCCGGGCTTCAGCCCTGCATTGGGCCCTGCACTGATAGCTCGGAGCTGGAGCCTGCTTTGGATTCTGTGTCTCCCTCTCTCTGCCCCTGCCCTGCTATTCTCCGTCTCTCTCAAAAATAAATAAACATTAAAAACACTGAAAAAAAAAAAAAGGTTTTAAAAGCAAACAATGACAATGGCAATATTACAATATATAAATGCACCAAATCAACATGTTATACACCTTACATTTACACAGTGCTATATGTCAAATACATTTTAATTAAAAAAAAGCAAACACTGACCAGAAAAGAAACATAATCACAGCATGTATAGGAAATTTCACAAATTTATTACCTCATGTCTGGAAAAAAGGTGAGCAAAATGGGGCTAGAAACCAAGCAAGTATCATTGCAGGATGCTCACAAAGAATTTCTAAAATGAGTCTATCAAGAACAATAAGAAAAGCATATTTTTAAAAATGAAAGCTCCAGAAGAAGTGGCTAAGAGTTAAAAGTATATTGACCCAGGGGCACCTTGGTGGCTCAGTCGGTTGAGTGTCTGGCTCAGGTCATGATCTCCGTGGTTCATGGGTTCAAGCCCTGAGTTGGGCTCTGCACTGATGGTGTGGAACCTGCTTGGGATTCTCTCTCTCTCTCCCCTCCTTTCTGCTCCTCCCCTGATCCCACTCTCGCTCTCTCTCAAAATAAATAAATAAACTTAAAAAAAAAAAAAAAAGGTGTATCGATCCAGTTTGGGAAGATGAGAAAGTTCTAGAGAGGATGGTGGGGATGGTTAAGATGGCAGTGAAATAAGTCAGACACAAAAGGACACATGCTATATGGTTCCACTTACAGGATGTACCTAGAATAGGCAAATGCATAGACACATAAGGCAGATTAAAACTTAACTAGGAGCCAGGGTAGAGAACGGGGAATGACCACCTAGTGGGTTCCCGGTTTCCTTTTGCAGTGATGGAAATGTTTTGGGAGTAGATAGTGGTGATGGTTGCACAGCATTGTGAATGTAATTAACACCACTGAACTGTAAAATTAAAAACGGTTCAAATGGCAAACTTTACATCTTGAGTATTTTACAATTAAAAAAATAATGGGGGCGCCTGTGTGGCGCAGTCGGTTAAGCGTCCGACTTCAGCCAGGTCACGATCTCGCGGTCCGTGAGTTCGAGCCCCGCGTCAGGCTCTGGGCTGATGGCTCGGAGCCTGGAGCCTGTTTCCAATTCTGTGTCTCCCTCTCTCTCTGCCCCTCCCCCGTTCATGCTCTGTCTCTCTCTGTCCCAAAAATAAATAAAAAACGTTGAAAAAAAAATTAAAATAAAATAAAATAAAAAATAATGTAACATACCAAAACCCATTAAACTGTACAATTTAAATGCAAGAGGTATCTATTGAGCTAATTTAATCTCAAAGCTGTTAAACAAAATGCCTTATACAAATGTTCACAGCAACACAAAAGGTGGAAACAACTCAAATTTCCATCAGCTGATGAATGGGTAAACAAAATGTGGTATACATGTGTCCCCTCACTTTTCAAAAGCTCCCATTAGGCCACTTCACTTTAAGAAAAACCTACGTTAAGGGGTGCCTAGGTGGCTCAGTTGGTTAAGCATCCGACTTCGGGTCAGGTCTTGCGGTTCATGAGTTCAAGCCCTGCATTGGGCTCTGTGCTGACAGCTCAGAGCCTGGAGCCTGCTTGACATTCTGTGTCTCCCTCTCTCTCTCTCTGCCCCTCCCCTGCTCGTGCTCTGTCTCTCTCTCAAAAATAAACAACCATTTGAAATAATATATTTGTTTAAAAAAACACAAAAAAACCTACATTAGAACCCGTTTTCACTAACTGAAAGAAAGCCAAAAAGAATTTTTGCTTTTACAGAGGCAGCTTGCACCCCAAGCAGCGAGAGTGGCCCCACCAAGCTCCTTCCCAGGGAACTACACTCAGCCCCTTGGCATCAAGCTACTATAGCTTTGAACTGTGTGAGTATCTGTTCTTGATCTACATTTATTTTGTGCGTCCTACGGTATAAGTAAAGCCTAAGAGAGGTTATTTTTGGGGTCTGGAAATGTTAAAAAAAAGTTTTCCATATAAGTTAATGGTAATTGTTTCTTGGCTTTACACCATTTCTGAATGGCTCAGTTGGTTAAGTGACCAACTTCAGCTCAGGTCAAGATCTCATGATTGGTGGGTTCGAGCCCCACACTGGGCTCTGTGCTGAGCACTTGCTTGGAGCCTGGAGCCTGCTTCAGATTCTGTGTCTCCTTCTCTCTCTGCCCCTCCCCTGCTTGTGTTCTGTCTCACTCTGTCTCTCAAAAATAAATGTAAAAAAAAACCCTTTTTTTTTTAAAAGAAAGGTTTCATAGAAACATTCTACTATCAGATAGCAGAGAAAAAAACCTATATCCATACAGTAGAGTATTATTCAACCATAAAAGGGGTGAAGCACTGATAAATGCTACATCGATGAATCTTGAAAACTTTTTGCTAATTTCAGAAATCAGACACGTAAAGGCCACAGATTGCAGGATTCCATTTCTGTGAAATATCCAGAAAAAGTAAATGCATAGAGACAGAAAGATTCGTGATTACCATGGGATGGAGGAAGGGGAGAATGAGGAGTGGCTGCTCAAAGGGTTGGGGGTTTCCTTTAAGGGTAGTTCTAATGTTTGCATATTATTAATGTACTAAATGCTATTAAATTTTAAGGTATAAAATTAGTTTTTGTTATGTGTATTTTACCACAATCAAAAATTGTGTAATGACTGGAAGATGTGTACAAGGAGACATTCAGGGGTGACATCTAAGATGTATATTTTGTTTTGAGTGATGGTTAACACGGTTGTATGCATTTGTCAAGACAGCGAATTTTACATTGAAGAGCTGTGCGTTTTACTTTATGTACAATATAATTCAAATTAACAAAAGAGTTCAAAGTGGTCTTTAGGGAACAAAGTGAAAAGGGTACGGGGAGCTGCCTTTTTCATTAAAAACCTTTGCATTACTTTTTAAAAACCATGACTATTAGTTAATTTGGAAAAAATTAAAATGTAATTAAAAATGTCCCCGTTCCGATTCCAACCTCACCAACCAAGTTCTCCCCCTAAGCTCCAGTCCAGAGACTGACAGCCGTCCCGCGATGCAAGGAGTCGGGCGCGATCCACAGCCGTGGTCCCAACGGTAAACGTGTATCTGGTTTCTACCTCGGCTGTACCCCAGGGCTTGGCCAGAGCATTTGCGTCTCTGGGGCTGGGGACCGGATTCCAGATCCTGCCGCGGGAAGGCAAGGAGGGACAACGTCGAGGACACAATGCACAGCTCCACACCTGCCGAGGGCCGCCAGAGGTTCCATCCACAACCAGCCGATCCAGGGGCGCTTTCCAACGCTCCACTCGCCCGGCCGGCCGGGCGGTGCGGCCTCTTCCTGCTCTTGGAACCAATCACCGGCCGCCTGGCAGTGCAGGCAAAGAGCGGTGCTGGAAGCCACCGTCCGTCCATCTTTCTTGAAGGCAGGAAGGCTCCGCCCCTCAGCCCACCTCTACCCAGTTCCCATTCCGCCCCGCCCCGCCTATCTCCTCTCCCACCCCACCTGCAGCGGCCATTGTGGTTGAGGGCAAGTGGCCGCTGAGGCCAGAGAAGCCAGATAGGCGCCATGTTTGATATGATCAAAGAATGGCGCCCTTAAAGAATCCAGAGACAACTGGAGCCAGGATGTCGCCATATTTTCTGAAGACACCTTCCGGGTCTCTTAACCCGGCTGTCTAAATCCAAGCTGCCATGAAGTGAATAAACACCGAGGGGTTTTGTTTGTCCCCATCACACCCCCCCGAATCCCTAGCAGCCAGTCCCTGCTACCTCGGTGCCCTCGACTGCGTCCGGACGCTAAGGCTGGGCGGGGCCCCGGCCTCCGGAGCCCTTCCTGTGGACGACGAAAGCTGAGGCCGCGCGCGGGGAGGCAGTGGCCTGGGGGACAGGGCGGCAGCTGCTCGGGGCCGGGAGGCCCCATGGCGCCCCCCCCAGCCCCGCTCCTGGCGCTGAGACCGGGGGAGACCGGGGTTGGTTGTAAGAAGCCTGGGGCCGTGAGCTTCGCGGACGTGGCCGTGTACTTCTCCCCGGAGGAGTGGGGGTGTCTGCGGCCCGCGCAGCGGGCCCTGTACCGGGACGTGATGCGGGAGACCTACGGCCACCTGGGCGCGCTCGGTGAGGCCCCGGGTCAGAATCCCCCCCCCCCCTCCTTCACTGGGGTTCACAGGGGAGATGACGTGAGGACCGAGAGGATTGTGAGCTCTAATCCCGCACTATTCCACCAACAGCACCACAGCCACCTCCATTCCCAGGGCTTCAGGTTAGGGAGTGCTTCCATCCGGCATCCGCTTCCTTCAAGCAGGAGCGTTGCAGAACTTGTCCAGCTTGAGCATAAGTTCTGAGGAGGTGCCCTTACCCTGGCAGGGGGATGCCATCTTCCCAGGACAGCCTCTCAGGCCAGCACTGTGATCCCTGTTCTCTCCCAGGATTCCCAGGCCCCAAACCAGCCCTCATCTCTTGGATGGAACAGGAGAGTGAGGCTTGGAGTCCCGCCGCCCAGGATCCTGAGGAGGGGGAAAGCCTGGGAGGAGCTCTGAGAGGTGAGGGATTGTCCCAAGTCCCCCCGCCCCTCCCCCCACTTGGCGCTCCAGGGCTTCCTGTTTCACAGAATTTTCTTTTGAATCCCCTCTGCCAGCGTCCCTAAAGGAATTAAAGAGACTGCCAATGTTGGATATTAAAGAGGAAAGAAGACAGACCTGGTACAAAATTTTCAGAACTTGGGACAGTAGTCACGTTAGGACCAGAGTAGGAGAAGTAGGAGCCCAAGTCCAAGACTCTGGTTTCTAGGTCCCACTTGGAGAAAACACCAGCCATTCTTCCCTTTTCAAGAACAATTAAAAACCCCTAGGAATGGAAGCGGCTTCAGGTCTGCCTTTCACATTCCTCACACAAGGCAAAGTGGTACAAGAGAAAATGCCCAGTAATCAACAACTTGGTTGCCACCCCCCCCCATCACCATCCCCGAGCCGAATGCTCTTGTGCAAATGTTTCCTCGTCTGTAAAAGTCTTACCCTACAAAAAGAAATTGAGAAAACACAACAGTAATAGCTACTGTTTTCTTGAGCATTTACTAAATGCCTAACATGCTTCTACTGATTTAATCTTCCCGGCGACCCTGTGAAGTAAAGAAACCTTTGAATCCCATTTGCTACATTGAGACACCAAGGCCCAGATAAGTCACTCTTCAAAGCCTGTGTTTTAATCGCTGGACAGTACTTTTCTGACACTTCCTAAGTAAAAGAATCCTGTAACCTGAGACGGTGGAAGCAAATGTGTTTTAAAACGTATCTTAATTCCTGTTTCCCAGGAGGCACCCCAAACAAGAAGAAAGAGGCACCAGAGGAAGGGCCAGGAGCCAAGGGACCCAGAAAGACTCCTGGGAAGGAGCCTTCTAAAGAGCTGGTTAAACACAACCCTGACTGGACCGTAAGAAAGGTTTCGGCAAGAGCACAGCAACCCACCCACGCTGCCTGGAACCAGAGCACAGGTGTGCAGCCCTCGGTCCCGGTGCCGGGCGTGGACACTCAGGACAGCCAGCGGCGTCACGTGTGTGCGGACTGTGGCCGCCGCTTCACCTACCCCTCGCTGCTGGTCAGCCACCGGCGCATGCACTCAGGGGAGCGGCCCTTCCCCTGCCCCGAGTGTGGCATGCGCTTCAAGAGGAAGTTCGCTGTGGAAGCCCACCAGTGGATCCATCGCTCCTGCTCTGGGGGGCGGCGGGGTCGGAGGCCTGGGATTCGGGCTGTGCCTCGGGCTCCGGTGCGGGGGGACCGGGACCCGCCGGTGCTGTTCCGACACTACCCGGACATCTTTGAGGAGTGCGGGTGAGCTGCTCCAGCAGGCTGGGGTGGAGCCTGACCTTGGACTGCCTGGGCCCCCCAGGGAGGCTCCTGAGTCAGGGATTTGGGAACCAGAAATTCATCCCTTGGGCTTCCCTCGAGGATCCCTCAAGTTTTCAAACTTGTAAAAAGAAAAGTGCCTGTAAAGATTCAAATAGATTAAACTTGACGCTACTCCCCTCTCAGGCTTTCCAAAAAACTGAAGAGGGTAGACTTTTCTCAAAGTGTTCATCTCAGCAGCACATGCCACCGAGATCTTTCTGGGGTCTCAGAAACCAGCCCTTGCTGCTTCTCTACAGAGGAAGCAAATGCTGAGGGGACTAAGGCCTGGGGAGGCCCCAGGGGGTGGCGAAGCCCTGGCTAATTGACAGCAGCAGGGAGTCTGGGAAGTGAAGTGGGTGGAAAGAACACAGATGCACCGATCTAGTCTCTGCAACTTGTCCCCAGGCACAGCTGGTAAGTCACATGCCATCCCTGAGCCTCAGCTCCCTCACCTGTAAAATAGAGATTCATAATATCTACCTCAGAGCGTTACTGTGAAGGCTGAAATTTTAACAAGGTAGTATGTACAACATAGTAATTGTGCAATAAACATTTGTGGGAAGAACAAATTATTGTTGATATTTTATGCATTTTAAAGAAAATGTAAAGAAGCCTGCTAAAGAGGCAGGGCATGGATATCAGCAGCCACATTTTGCAGATGAGTAAACTGAGGCTCTGAGAGAAAAAGTGATTTTCTCAAAGTGTCACTGTAAGGCAGCAAAGCTGGAAACTGACACAGTGCCTAGAAATCTGCCACTTTATTTTTCTTTTTAAAACTTATTTATTTATTTTGAGAGAGAGTGAGCGGGAAAGGGGCAGAGAGAGAGAAAGGGAGAGAGGGAGAGAGAGAATCCCAAGCAGGCTCTATGCTGTGAGCACAGAGCCTGACACCGGGCTCGATCCCACAAACCGTGAGATCATGACCTGAACTAAAATCAAGAGTTGGACGCTTTACCAACTGAGCCACTCAGGCGCTCCTATCTACCACTTTCAATGGGCAGTCCTATCTGGAGAGAAAACAGATCAGGGGCTCAGGTGTGGCTGAGGTGAGAAAGGAGGCCTGGGCGGAGGCCTAGCCCTGCCTTCCTGGGGGAGTCTCAGCAGGAAACAGAGTCCCATCAAGGCCGGTGACCTTGCACTTAGTGCCATCAACATTCAGTGGCCATATGTTGAGTGGCTTCTGTGGGAGACTGCTAGGTGGTAAAAGGGAATTCTGGGATAAATTAGTCTGATCCCATTCATTCATTCAGCAAACACCCTATGAGGCCTCTGTGGGTTTTTGTGCTGGGCTCCAGGGACACTCAGACTCACTCAGACTCAGGTCCCAAGTTCCATGTGGGAAGATAGTGATTGGGGCTATGATGGAGGAAGCCCAGAGGCACCACCTAACCCATCCTGGCTGGTGATACACCAGGAAATGCAGCTTGGAGGAGATGGTTGTGCTTCCCATGACATGAGTAGGAATTAGAGTAGAAATAGAGCAGAGTAGGAATTGGTGTGTGTGGGAGGGAGATTTTCAGGCAAAGGGAGCCTTGTTTCATAGAAAGGATAAAAATCAGCACGGCGTGGAGTAGAGGTTAAGAGCATGGTCTCTGGAGTCAGACTGTCTGGGTTCGGACCCTGACTCACTTGCTTTATAGCGGTGCAGTCTCTAGCAAGTCACTTCTTGCCCCGCCTCTCCTGTGCCTTAGTCTCTTCATCCATGAAACCTGGATAATAAAAGCACCTACCTCATAAGAGTGGTGTAAGGATTAAATGAGAGGGTACAGGGGCCCCTGGGTGGCTCAGTCGGTTAAGCGTCTGACTTTGGCTCAGGTCATGATCTCACAGCATGTGAGTAAGGGCCCTGCTTCAGGCTCTGTGCTGACAGCTTGGAACCTGGAGCCTGCTTCGGATTCTGCGTCTCCCCCTCTCTCTGCCCCTCCCCTGCTCACGCTCTCTCTCTCCCTCAAAAATAAATAAACATTAAGAAAAGAAATTCTTAAATGAGATAATACAGAAGAGAACCTGGCACGTTAGAGTTTAATAAACAGTGGTTATTGTTATTCCAAAACAATACAAAATAGTATGTGAAGAGGGCAAGGAGGAGACCTGGGCAGGTCTTCTGATTCAAGGAAGGTTTCCTGGAGGAGGTGGTTCAAACTGGCCTTGAAGGAAGGGAAAGATATCAACCAGACGAGGCATGTATAGGGAGTGGTCAGGGGCTCCACCTGAGTGGAAGGTAAAGAACCAGGTACAGAGTCATAGAAGACACCTGCAGTAACCTGGGAAGGTCACAGATCCCAGCAGGAGGGCTTGGGGTTTACCCTGTAGGCACTCAGGAGCCATAGAAAGGTCTTGAATAGGAGCAGGGCTATTTGACTAGTGCTGTCTGAAGATGTCTTTGTAAAACAGTGTGGAGTGTGAGTAAGGAGACGGGACTAGGAATCTGTTCGGCATTTGCTCCCAGGTAAAGGTGAGCGAGAGCTGCGATCAGGCTAAAGACTTTTTCTTTTCCTTTTTTTTTTTTTTTAGGTTGGTTTATTTTTGAGAGAGAGAGACTTCAAGTAGGGGAGAGGCAGAGAGGGTGAGAGAGAATCCCAAGCAGGCTCCATATAGCACAGAGCCTGACACAGTGCTCAATCCCATGAACTGTGAGGTCTTGACTGGAGTAGAAACCCAGAGTCAGAAGCTTAATCGACTGAGCCACCCAGGTGCCCCCAGCAAGACTTTTTCTTGCAGCTGCTCTGGTTTGCTGACTTTTGAATTGGAGAAAAGGATACTCAGGAGAGGCTTCTGCCATAGAATCTGCATGGCTCGGTGACTGACAATATGGGCTATGAACAAGTAAGCCCCAGAGGGTTCAAGCATGGAGACACGGAGCAAGGGAGCCAGCAAGTGGGAGGGCGTAGAGGCCAAGGGATGACCAGTCCTAGAGAGGGATGAGTCAAAGAGAAAGGGAAGCTGGAGAGAAGAAGCCCCACCAGGGAGGGAGGAGCAGAAGCAGGCACAGCGTATCAAACACAGAGTTGCCCAGGCCAGCATAAGGCACAGAGGGAGTGCTGTCTGCTTTCTTTCTCATGTATCCATTTAACAAGTAACAAATAGTAAGCATTTGCCATGAACTAGGCACTATTCTGTGTGCAGATACAGCAGGGAAAACAGACATAGGAACCGTTTTGGAACTTACTTTTGAGAAGCTTGGGGAGAGACAAGTGATAAGCCAGTACCTAAGTAAGACAAGGTATTGTAACTAAATAATAAGTACTACAAAGGTTCTAAGACAGAGATGTGCTCAAAGTGCCTGTTGCAGATGGGTACTTAGGCCAGGTCTTGGTACAGAGGAGACCTCTGAACGGAGTTCCAAACGATGAGAAAGAACCAAGGGGAAAGGGGTCAAGTGGCAGGATGTGGGAGTGGGGGAGCGCAGGGTTTCAGAGGCTGGGAGTCGGGGGCAGGCAGGGGTTCCCAGACAGACGGAATAGTAGACGCCATGCTCTGAGGTAGGGATGAGTTTGGGTGAGGTGCAGAAAGGACGCTGGTGGCTGGATGGAGGAACTGAGTGGAGAAAAATTACAGGTGAGCTTGGAGGAGGGGGAAGGGAGTGGGTCACAGGACTCTGGCTGGCCACGGTGCCAAGTCTGGATTGATTCTAAATATATTGGGAAGCCACTGGGTTATGATTTTTCTTTTTCTTTCTTTCTTTCTTTTTTTTTTTTTTT